CAATTATAAATCAGCTCTGAATCTCATTGGACTGCAGAGACCTTCAACTAACAGTCTGCCTCTGGAGGGGCAGAGAAACATACCATCTAGCTTGTGCACAAATCCACCAGAAGAAAACTGGAAACTGGCAGAATGAATAAGCCATAAAATACTAAAACTGCTGCAAACACAACAACTTTAATCATCAAGTTAAATATACGCCCCCGCCCCCAAAGCAGGCTGTCATTGTAGAAAAACAGTGACATATTATAAACAAATTCTACATCATGTTCTGCCTGATCCCTCATTACTGTGTTGTCTATTTGTTTTTATCTTTATGGACTATTTCTTTACATAAGGAAATTAAAACAGCAAATAGACTCTAAGTACATCAAGACAGTAATCATTTTAAGTCTTGTTTAATAAAATAGGTCCTCTGCTGTAAAATATTCATATTCCTTTAAATACTATTCTAAGGAAAACAGACCCAAGCGTTTCACTGAAAGGGCTGGTTTTGAACATGGGGAAGTGTTTTGTCAAAGAAAACTCTTGACCTCACTCACTTAGTCTCTCTCCCCTTACTGTCTCTGCAGTTCAGAATACTGTTCACACAATTTGGACCTCATCTATTATGATCAAATGAGGGCTATGAAATGCCTAGATTTGGAGATCAATCATGGACTGACATGGTACTCTGGTTCTTTCATAGAAAATGAGCTGGTGAAGCATCTTTTGGAACTGAGCCCACCGAACCCTCAGAGACCCTTTCAAGAACAAGATGAAGAAGATCCATGTTTGGAATAAACAGGAGGGATGCACAGGATAGACAAAGGCTTAAGTTTAGCACAGCCATCAAACTCAGAAAGAAACATATTGTTGTGTTAAAAGGAGATTTTCTTTTCTTTTTTGCTGGAGGTGCTCGATACATGCAAAATGTGAAGGAGCAATGTGCAGAGAGGCTGTGGAGGTATGGGGTTCCCAAAGGGGAGGGGTCCTGGTCATTCTTGTTTCTTGAGCAACTGCTGTTGGACATGTTGTGATTTCTTTTTTTTTCTTTTTCCTGGTCTTCTCTTTGTAAATCAAGTAGTGGTGCTGAAATCGGTGCCTAATGGAGCAGATGGTGGAGGTCTTAGGTGCTGGAACACGTATAGTGATGTCTTTGAATGCTAAACACCAAGCACAGATTTCACAGGCTGTGAAAGTGATTTGATTTTGATGGTAATCAAACATCCATTTTCACTAAATTCAAACCACAGTGAAAGAAAGAATATGTGACTGACACAGCTAACTCAAGAAAAAGGGTAATATTTAAAATATTATTCCCACAAAGGGAAGTAGTGTAAACAAATTTTGTTTACATCATTATGGCATGCCTGTACTTTCTTTCTTTCTTTCTTTCTTTTTTTTTTTTTAGTTTAATGTATTTTAATAGCAAACTTACAGGAACAGCACAGAAGACAGACAACATTAAAAACATGTACTTGCATGTAGAACAACTCAGTTAGAAAAGTATAGTGAATGGATGGAATCTACTGTATGATAAAAATGCTACAAACACCATTTAGTTGCCGTCAATAAGAAATTTACTTATTTAAAAAAAATCCAAATGCTGGCATTGTCCAGAAAATTTTAACAGGTTTATTTATAATTGTTATAAAGTTGAACTATTGAAATGTGTTCACTGAAACATTTTGCTTGCATTAATGCTTTACATCTTACATTTATATTAAAAATTCACACACAAATGAAAATGGAAAAACTGCCAATACCTGATTTCTGTCCCCTATTTTTCCACTCACAATCATATACTTAGGTACCTTTTGACCCCATGGAAAAAATATCTAACATTCAGAACTACTGATAACAGGAAGAGGAAAAAAATTTTTGAGAATGAAATGTTTCCCCTCATAGTGGACTTAATTTTAAGCACGTTCTCTGTGTATGCGGTGTGCTAGCTGGATATCTTTTGGCATAATTGTTACACGTTTGGCATGGATAGCACACAGGTTGGTATCTTCAAAAAGGCCAACCAGATAGGCCTCACTTGCCTCCTGCAAAGCACCAATAGCTGCACTCTGGAAGCGTAGATCTGTTTTGAAGTCCTGAGCAATTTCTCGAATCAGACGCTGGAAGGGGAGCTTACGAATCAGAAGTTTAGTGGATTTCTGATAGGGTCTGATTTCACGGAGTGTCACAGTACCAGGCCTGTAACGATGAGATTTTTTCACCTCTCCAGTAGAGGGCGCACTCTTACGAGCGGCTTTTGTAGCCAGTTGTTTCCTGGGTGCTTTACCACCGGTGGATTTGCGGGCAGTCTGCTTTGTACGAGCCATGGTAAGAGCACCTCCTTACTTACCCCCCTTCTACTTCGGCTGGAGCTTGGCAAGCGAGAGGCGGCGCTGGTGTTAAGAGAGGGGCGGAGGCGAGGCGACGGCTGCGAACACAATTCATGCCTGTACTTTCAGTACCTCTACACTTTTATAAGATAGCACAAAGTAGCTGGGATAACACGCAATAGTGTGGTGCTTGACCGTCATGTGTGAAACACTGGGTTCATCCAGTGTGGCAGAACAGTGCAAAGTAAATCCAAACTGACAATAAAAGGAAAACAGAAAGAAATTTTTCTAAAAGTATTGAGCCTTAGTTTCTTTCCTAAGATAAGACCATGTTGAGGCCAGTTTCCAAAATACAGGACTAGGTGCAATTAAGTAACAGATCTAGAATATTTCCTCCGCTGGGGTCTTTTGGTCTAGTCCACTGTAGCCACTGTTTATGCCTACATGTTATCAGGTGCAGCCTAATGCATCAAAAAACTCTACCAAACTTTCACATGTGGAGTCATTTCCCCTCTCCAAGTAAGGCACATACTTCTCATGGACCCACAGCAGGTCTGATAGGAAGGCAAGACAGATCATGGGGTCACTGACTCCCAGGGACAGCTAAAGACTCACTCCTGCCTTAACATGTGGATTCCATAGAACACCAGTAGCACAGACACTGAGAACAACAACTAACATATGGGACCCCCTGAAACTGAAAAGCTTCTGTAAGGCAAAGGCACAGTAAATAAGACAGAACAACAGCCTACGAATGAGAAAAGATCTACCCTAACCCCACATTTGACAGAGGGCTGATCGCCAAAATATATAAAGAACAGGAAACTAGACAACAAAATATCAAATAATCCAATTTAAAAATGGAGTGGTGAACTAAAGAGAATTCTCAACAAAAGAAATTGAAATGGTTGAAAGACATTTAAGGAAATGCTCAATATCCGTAATCATCAGGGAAACGAAAATCAAAACTACTCTGAGATACCATCTCATGCCTGTCAGAATGGCTAAGATCAAAAATACTGAGGACAGCTTATGTTGGAAAGGATGTGGAGTAAGGGGAACACTCCTCCACTGCTGGTGGGAATGCAAACTTGTACAGCCACTTTGGAAATCAGTATGGTGGTTTCTTGGAAAGTTGGGAATCAATCTACCTCAAGATCCAGTGATACCACTGTTGGGCATATACAAAGGATGCTCAATCATATCACAAGGACACTTGCTCAACTATGTTCATAGCAGCATTATTCATAATAGCCAGAACCTGGAAACAACCTAGATGTCCCTCAACTGAAGAATGGATAAAGAAAATGTGGCACATTTACACAATGGAGCATTACTCAGCTGTAAAAAAACAACATCTTGAAATTTGCAGGCAAATGGATGGATCTAGAAAAAAACCCATCCTGAGTGAGGTAGCCCAGACTCAGAAAGACAAACATTGTATGTACTCATTCACAATGAATATTAGACATAAAACAAAATAAAGGATAACCAAACTACAATCCACAGCTCCAGAGAAGTTAGGATCTTTTTCTGGTAATTGATGGAAACAGACACAGAGATCCACAACCAAGCATCAGGTCAAGCTCTGGGAATGCAGTTGAAGAGAAGGAGAAGGGATTACATGAACAAGGCAGGTCGAGATCATAATGGAGAAATCTACAGAGACAACTAAACCAAGCTGTGGAAACTCATGAACTCTGGACATCTGTGGAGTTCCCTACATATGAGGGAGACAGTTGTAAAGCTTGAACTATCTGAGGGGGCCCTGGCAGTAGGACCAGGATCTATTCCTGGTGCATGAGCTAGATTGTTGGAGCCTATTCCTTATGAGGGGATGCCATGCTCAGACTTAATGTGCCAGACTGTGTTGACTCCTCAGTAGGCAAACCTGAATATCAATTTTTCCCTTCCAGATTATGTTGTTCAGATAAAGCAAGCACTCTACAGTAGATCTACATTCCCAGCCTTGCTCTTTTATTTTGGAGATCACTCTATAGCCCAGAGTGGCCCTGAACTTGTGATAATCCTCCTGCCTCATTCTTCTAAGTGCTCTTCTTCTTCTTCCTCCTCTTCTTTCTTTCTCCTCCTCCTCCTCTCTCCTTTCTTCTTAAAACATTTTAAAAAGATTTATTACATGTACAAGGTTTTGCCTGCATGTGTGTCTGAGCACCAGAAGAGGGCACCAGATCTCATTATAGATGGTTGTGAGTGCTGAGAACTGAAGTCAGGATCTCTGGAAGAGCAGCCAATGCTTTTAACCTCTGAGCCATCTCTCCAGCCCCTCTTTTTTCTTCCTTCCTTCCTTCCTTCCTTCCTTCCTTCCTTCCTTCCTTCCTTCCTTCCTTCCTTCCTTCCTTCCTTCCTTCCTTCCTTCTTTCTTTTTGAGACAAAGACTGGCTCTGAGACCCAGGCTAGCCTTGAACTCATGATCCCCCTGCCTCTGCCTCAGAGTTTGGAGATTACAATCTTGTGCCACCATACCTGTTCTTCAAAAACGTTCGTTTCCTAGCATTAATCTCTTTTAGTTAATGTTGACATTGCCATCATCACCTTCATCAGTTACAATGAGCATCCATGTAAGGTGAGCCGAGCAGCAGGACACATAGACCTCTGTGGCTTCCATAACCAAGCATGAGATACCTGAAGGCTATGCAGCCACAAGGGAAGCCTGTCTGTTTTTACCTTGGTGTTCTGTAGAAGAGCTAGTCCATTGCAGGCATTTGCTAGAAGAAAGTCTCCACTCAGGATAGCTATTTTGTTTCCAAACTGCATGTCTTTCAGTGGTCCATCAGAAGACTGTAATTCACTTAAATTTACTATTCCACGATGCACGAGGAGAGCAGTGTGTATAAGTTCTGTGATCTCTGCCAAACTTCTTTGACTAAAACATAAAGGAAAGGTTTGTATAAATGTCAAGACTGTATTACTTTATGACCAATGCCAGGATTCAGTTCTCAAGAATAAAACCATGTACGCATGGTTTTGGGTGTGTATGTGTGGGCGGTGGTGGGGTGGTGTCCTTTTCTAATAAAGCTTTTAGAAGTTTCTCTATTGACTAGTCTGGAACTTTTCTGTAATCCCCCTTACTCTATCTTACAAATCAGAGAAATGATGGCCAGAAGTCCCCGCCCCCCCCAAGTTTCATTGCTTTCAATGCTCATTTCTTCTTCACTTAACTTTAAGATTTCTGGGAATTGTCAGTTACATCATAAGGCTAAATGTGAGTAAGTATGAGTAAGGCATAGGCTAAATACTTTACATACATGCTCTCCTTTAGTCCTAAATATAAAGCTAGGGGATTTTCTGAAACATGGTCTCTTTCCTCAAGGACCATGTCTCCTAGATTGAGAGTGGATGTATGCACCTTCAATAGGAAACAAGGCAGAAAGGTCTGCCAAGTCTATAATTCAGGACTGTATCTCATGAGATGGTAGGAGATACCTGTTTCCTTTGATATATTTTCTACAGTTTGCACATTTTGTGTGAGAATAAAAGGATTATTTGTATAATCAAACAAAAACTTCTAAGTATTTTGAACCTGCAGAATGAAATTGGATGGAATAAAATGCATGTGATAAGTGGAACAAACAAAATAAAAAAACTAAGATCAGAGTACGGTGGTTATGCTCATAGAACCAGTACTTGGGAGGCTGAGGAAAGAGGACTGCCATGAGTTACACATTGAGTTTCAGCCCAGCCTGGGTTATAGTGTGAGACCCTGTCTTAAAACACCATAGGAACAGAAACTGCCCCCTCATACACATTAAAACAAAAGCAAGCAGTCACTGAAAATATAAGCCTCCCTTCAACCCCATGATAGGCATTATTAATCCTCGATTATAGGGGAGAAAATTGTTGCACACAAATGAAATGAGTTCTCAAGGGCACAGTAATTCGGAGCTGGGATTCCATTGGAATCTAACTACTCTAGATGATTCAATGTGAATATAATGTGGTTTCGAGGTTCCCACTTCAGCCTCCACATTAACTCTGGGCTTGGCTGTGCTACTTGCCCCAACAGAACATCAATAAACATGTCAAAAGGAAAGCTTAGGGATAGCTCACAAACACAGCCTTATGCTGGTTTAGGCAGTCACATAGTTGCATGACCCAGGTCACCAGAGCCTTCCAGTCACTTCAGACATGTAAAAATGAAATGGTGTTGTCAAGACACCAACATATATATGATGGCTTGCTATGAAATAATAGGTATTTGATAAGAAATTAAATTAAATTAAACACTTAATAGTGTTGCTATAACAAAAGGCTAAACTTAGTCTGAACAATGTGGGGGGCTGAAAATGGTGCTATTTTAGCACAAGCTGAAAAGGCAGTGAGCAAACTGTTACTGGAAAAACTCTCCTACAGTAACTGGAAAGATAGGCATCTTTTACTAGCTAAAATAAATTATACTTAATAAACTTAGAGAGTTGGTAAGGAGATTTCAGGTAGGATGCTGGAAGTGTTGACTAGCTTTCACTATGTAACATACAGCGTATATAGATGCATATACAATATAAGAGAGAGACAAACTAAAGAGACTTGTTCAATTTGCATGTTGTTTAGAGCACAAGAAAAGAGCAAAGACCTGCTAAGCTGAAAATAAAACTGTTCCACATTTCCAGTAGATCCAGAAAAAAAATTCCCAAAGAAAGAAACAGTATTAGGGAAAAGAACAAATTAAAAGTGTGGGCTGACAAGAAGGCTCAGCAGGTAAAGGCTTGACTTTGATCCTTAGAATCCATGTAAAGTGAAAGGAGAGAGAACCTGTTCCCTAAAAGTTGTTCTCTGACCTCCTTGCTGTGGCTTGCAAGTGATGATGATGATGATGGGTATGGTAGTATGTACTTATAATCCTAGAATTTGGGAGGTGGAGGTAGTTCAAGATCGTCCTCAGCTACACAATGAATTTGAGATTAGCTGTGATGGAGGTGGAAAACCTTTCCTCACACATAAAAACTTCCTTGAATTTTAAGCGAATCACCTTATAGCAGCTTCACTCTCAGTATAGAGAGGTTTGTCTATATTATAAAGAATTATGGATGTGGCTTTTACAACATGAAGTAAAAGTCATAGAAATCTCAAAAAAGGGTTAAGGAAATTTGAGTTTGGGTTTAACGTAAACCATGCTTACGATGGGCTTTGGAACAACCTTTGTGATTACAAACACCAGACAAACTTGGAGCATTGCTCAGCCTCATCGGAGAAGCTCCTTGCAGCAGACCCACAACTGGTCAATGTGCAGAGCAGGAGAGACTTTGGAGAACTCACAACCTTCTTCTCTAGGCTCAGGGCTCCATGGGGAAGAGGAGGTGGAAAGATGAAAAGAACCAGAGGTGCAGGACTCCAAGAAAACATTCTCCTGCAGACACAGAGACTGTGACAGCACACACAAGACTAGCACAGGCTCAAGCCAGACAGGGTCCCGGTACTGAGAAGGGAAGGTAGACATGGGGTCCTACCCCCAACCAAGAGCTATTTTCAATTTATACACACTGAGAAACATAAGTGTATTATTATAATTTTATCATCATCATCATCAGGAGATGGTGCAAACCACATTATGGTGTGGAGGTCACAGGTTGGACAACTTTTAGAGAATATATTCTCTCTTTTCACCATCACATAAATTCTGGGGATCAAACTCAAGTTGCCTGCCAGGCTTACTCAGAAAGTGACTAGTGACATGTATGTCACTGTGTGCATCACCCACACTCCAGGGCAGGCCCCATGCCAAGAGTATCAGGCTCACAAAGGACAAACTCCATGTGCTTTGTTTTGATATATATTTTTTTCTTACTGATTTTTCCTTTCCTTTCCTTTTTCTTTTTCTTTTTCTTTCTCTTTTTTTTTTGAGACAGAGAGACTATGAAGTTGTATGGGGAAGAATATGATAAAAATATATTTACAAATTATTTCACAAAAATAATTTATTTTTATTTTGTGTGTATTGGTGTTTCACCTGCATGTATGTCTGTGTGAGGGTGTGAGATGTCTGGAGTTACAGACAGTTGTGAGCTGCCATGTGGGTGCTGGGAATTGAACCTGATTCCTCTGGAAGAGGAGTCAGTGCTCTTAACCATCTGAGCCATCTCTCCAGTCCCCCCCCCCCCAAGACATTTTTAAATAAAATAAAATAAAAAAAAAACAGTAGACCATTACAAAGCTCAAAGTATGAACCAATTTTCACTGAAAGGGAGGCAGCTGAGAGGGCAGAGCAAATGTTACAGAGAATGATGAATCAGGAAGCTATGTCTTAGGATTGGGCCCTAGCCAAGAAGTATTTCTTGCTTATAGAACAGGTAGTTCTGACAACATGATTTGGATTTCTGGACAGCTGGATTTTAGAATGGCTATGGACCAGCAAGACTTGCTTTTCTTAAGAGATGAGGTCTTACTACTATAGAGTTCTCAGGTGGTCCCCAAACTCCTGGCCTCAAGCAATCATTCTTTACATGCCCAGCTGTCTTGCTGTCCCCTCAGAAAACAAGTTTTAAGAAGTGGAGCTAAGACATAAAACCATATTTTTAAAAAGTGACCAAAAGAAAGGAATAAGAATTTTATTATGATTTGATTTCATCTTTAGTAAGTAGTAAAGTTATATGCTTGCCAAAAAAAAAAAAAAAAGTGACACACTGGAAGACAAATGTCACACAATTTCAATTTTATGTGTAACCTAGAAATGATGAACTTATGGGAACAGAGAGCAGAATTGAGGCTATTAGGCTTCAATGTGGGTCTTTTAACAATGGGGAAACGATGTTTTAAGGATATAAAACTGCAGTTGGACAAGAGGCATGGACTCTCTGAAGTCTTGAGGTCTACTGAGAGCATGATAAATATGGTTGATAACAATATGCTATATTTTAAAAGTTGTGAGATAGTATACTTTAAGTGTTCTCAAAACAAAAATGATGAATATGTGTGATATAACATGTTAATTGGTTTAATTTAGCCATGCCATTGTGAACATACTGTATTCTGTACCATAATTGTGCATGACTTTATTTATGAACTAAATAAATGAATGAAAAAAATATAAAAAAAAAGAATTTTATTATGGGGGCTGGAAACATTACAGTAGTCAAGAGTGCTTCTCATTTTCCCAGAGAGCAATGCCCATCTGCAGCTCACAAATGCTTGTAACTCCTGCTCTAGAGGATCCAACACCCTCTTCTAGCCTCTGACAGCACCCCTATGTACATGACATACACTCACACAGACATACCCGTAAGTGAAACTAAATCTTAAAATATCACTATTTCACAAATGCTTTTTGTTTTTGTAAAACTATTCCCTAAAAAGAAAGAGAAAACAAAACAAAACAAAACAAAACAAAATTTGAGGTAGGGTGTGAGATCTGGGAAGAGTTAAGGGGAGCAGAGGGGAATGAATATGATCAAAATACATTGTATGCATGTGTGAAACTCTCCAAAAATTAATAAAAGCAGGTGTGGTGGCACATGTCTTTAATCCTAGCACTTGGGAGGCAGAGATATGCAGATTGCTGTGAGTTCCAGGCTAGTCTGGTTTACATAGCAAGTATTTATGTAGCCAGGGCAACATAGAGAGACCCTATTTCAAAAATACCCAAAGAATTAATAAAAAGCATTTTTATTAATATTGTCAGATTTGACAAAAATCGCATAATGAAATTATGAGCAAGTATATAGCATAGAAGGGTTAATCAAATAATCCCTCATGCAGTTTAGGTTAGGGAAGTAAAGTCCAGCAAGCCAGAAGCTGTAGGTGTTCTGAACTATCCTAAGGATGAAAGTGAGTGACTGTGAGCTTTCAATAAAGACACCTATAAAATAAACAGCATTCATTAAATAAGTAGTAACCTTTAAATTCCACATTACCAGAAACAAGAACAATCTT